TACCGGAACTCAAGATTTTTAAAATAATTTGACTTTGTGTCTCTACTTTAAATAGAGTGTATTGCATTTGTGCACGAAAGTGNAATGAGAAGGGACGTGTGTGACTATCTTACGCCTCACAGTTTTTATATATCAGTATATCTGAACCTTAGTGGTTCTTTTCGAATTTTAGATTTTAAATGTTACATTTTCTGCATCTGTCATCTACATCTACATACTTCTCTCACTTCTCTCGCAAACACGCCCACGAAACATTTCCTTCTCTCTGTTACATATTTCGAAAACAATTAAAATCTCATATATTTTACTATCGCGACGTCGTAGATAGTTTCGGCCCAGAAACTATATATTGGCACGTACATCGGCATTTATCTTATACATATATACACGTTAGGAAATCATCTCCGTCCACCGCCGCCTGTATCTTCACGTGTGACGCAAGTATCAGTATAGCTTAACCTTGTAAAGAAAGTATCTTGGCTTCATGGCCTTGAGTTCTAAAAATTTTATTAAACTGAAACACAGAGATGAAATTTATCTCACATAACGTAAACACGTGCTTTCACCTACGTACATTGAGTGTCTTTCTTTGCAAAGGCTTGGGTTTTACGTGTTTGTATGATGATCAGCATCAAAGCAGAGCCTATGTCTGTCTTTCCGTCAGTCTAGTTAGATTCACAAAATTTTGTGTGAAGACTCGTGAAAAAAATGTAAAAATCCATGTATGTATGTATCACTAAGGTTACAAACATACATATGAAGACTGAGTACCGGGTATAAAAGTTGTGACAAGTAGGAAGCGTCTTACAAACGTTCCTACTCGCTCACGATCCATTTTTTTAAATTTCATCCATAAATTCTTCCATCAAAAACGCTCATCATATGCGTTTACCAGGACAATCACAAGAAATGTAAATGATCGGTGTTAATCAGATCATTGTTAATCATTGTTAAAACCAGAATGAAAATATTAATTTGTCCACACCCCGTCCAGCTTGCTCCGTTAGTGCTTGCTCATTCTCTCTCTCGCGCTCGCACACTCTGCCTGAGCAGTGTGTGTTTTGGAGGAGCGAGGCGAGCGAAAAGTGCGTGTTGGTGTGAGAGGAGATGTATATAAAAAATGTAGAAAATCTAAAATTGGAAAAAATCATATGGTTACATATGTACATATATATGTACATATATACTGTTAAGTACCGGGTATAAATGAAGTACTCATAAAGTTCCTCTTCATTTAGCTTTTAATGTTTTTAATATGTTAATGTTAATGTTTAGCTCTAATTTTTTCGAACATTATCCTAAGAACTATCTATCTGTCCTGCATTTAGGCGACCAGCTCGTTTACACTCGTCGACCCTCTTGCGGCAGCGCCATCGGTGAGAGGAGGGCTGCGTAGCTGCCAGTGATCCGCTTGTAACAGGCTTCTGTAGCATTGCCAGCTTGATTGTGCATTCATTGCACGTCAACGTCTAAAAATAACTACAAAATAGTAAATAGTAATTCGATTAAAAGAAGGTATTTGCAAGTGCGCAAAAACGCTTGACCAGAAAAGGTCAATATGGTTTAAACTAGTTCATTTAGGTCTTATTATCTCATACTCGTACATTCAGGTGCTTAGACAGTCGGATAGATAGACCTGCGGATTTGTACTTTTATTTTGATTTCTTTTTTTGTGTCGAAAACGACCCCATTCGTTGAGCCTAAGATCACAATTCACAGGTTGAGACAGACCTACAGGTCTTATTCATTTTCACTATCATATACATACATACATATTAAAAGTAACTGCCTCAAAGTTTATTTTAATTTGGATATCCAAGAATGTAAGTTAAAACCCTAATTTTTGTGTACTACATGTCCTTCTATGATCATTCAAACTTCTTTTATGTATACATTAGTAAATGTACTATATATTGCACTATAGGTGGACGGCAATAGGTAATAGGACCCAAGAACGACTACTAATGGGATGTTCCATCTCTTCAAATATTTCTATAAAGGTAATCCTTGCTAAATTTGATTGAACGTCCAAAAACATATATATGTACATATGTATATAGTCTAACGGCTTCTCCGGACAGACATCTTAACTTTTTGTTCTGGGTCTGTGTTATCTCGTTTAGCTACATATAATACACGTTTGAGAACTCAGCGGTGTCCTATGTGTCCTGAGCCAAAAAACTATATATGTAAAAATGTATGTATATAAGCAACTAAAAGCTGTTTGAGTATATTTTTACATATTTATGTGTGTACATTGGGAAAAACAAAAAATTATATTTTAGGCATACATATACATATACATGTATTATTGTATTTGCGATAAAAACTAGTTGGAACGTTGTGAGACGCTTCGAACGCATCACAACTGTTACACAAATTATTCAGTCAGGATATATATCCTGCTATGCAAACAGTAAGCGTAAACCGTCGGCACATCCATCCTCGCTATCATTTTTCAATATGTCGGCAAACAATGATCAGGCAATTGCCGATCTTTTTGCACAATTTTCTCAAACCACCTATTCCAAGGAAAACTACCCAGGTCATATGTATCCATATAGTTTACCAAGGTCGAATAGCATTTTCTGCCCTTTGTTTAATGAAAGCTCCTTACTTCATGAACTTCAACTAGTTAAGCCGTTATTTTCACCGGGCCCTGACGGAGTTCCCGGCTGTGTACTCAGGTACTTTGCCGAGTCTCTGTGCGGACCTTTGCTTAAACTGTTCACTCTATCCATCCATTCTTCTAGCTTTCCCCCCATCTGGAAGAAATCCTCCATAAGAAAGGTGGCAAATCTGAGGGTAAACACAATATAGGTATATCTAAGTTATCCGTTATTCCTAAAATGTTCGAGAAAATTTTAACTCCGCAGTTGCAGCATTTCTGCAAATCACTTATATCTCCAGCTCAGCACGGATTAATACGGCGACGATCAACAACCACTAATCTTTTAGAGTTCACCTCCTCTGTCATTAAGGGATTCCAAGGTAACTTGCAGACGGATGTTATTTACATTGACTTCAGTACGGAATTCGATTCTGTAAATCATTCACTTCTTGCACAAAAGCTCTGCTGTGTTTGATGGCAATGATTGCGTTTGGCTCTCTTGAACATTGAGCGCAAAGCGACTCGCAAAAACAAAATTTAGTTTTTCCTTTTCAAGTCTGCTTCGTAATTTCATGTGTGCGGTGACACATACATAAAGGATGGCAATGCGTGTATCTATTCTCGACTTCATATGCGTTTTTCCAATAGAGTATTCAGCGAATACTGTGTGAATACACATAGAGACCCACACACGAGACTACGAAATCAACTTGAAAAGAAACGAGAAGGGACGTGTGAGACGCTTCTTACGCGTCACAACTTTTATACCCGGCACTCAGTACTACTTCTGCACCTTAGCGGTGTTTTGTCAAATTGAACATTTTTTCTTCATCTGTCATATACATCTACAACACTACTTTGGTTGGTGTACAACACGCTCCGTTAGCTCGCCGCCCTCCCTAGACCCACACACTGCAGACTCGCGGCAGAGGCAGAGGCAGCGCCCGCACACAAAAAAAAAAAATATAAGCTGCGGGACGGGGTGGGTTAAAAGTCGGCAGAGGCAGGGGCCGAGTGAAGCAGAAGCAGAGTGTGAATGAGAGAATGTGAAAAGAACAACAAAAGTTGCGGGACAGGGTGGGTTTAGCCACTGCAAATTAATTTTTTCATTCCAGCTTTAATAATAATCGAATCGGATCCCAATTCAGTGATCTGATAGATATGGCCATTCCCTACGGAACGGCGTTTTAGTTTTCTAATTTTTGAAATACACTTCTTTCAATGTGAGCTTACAGCAGCCCGGAGCCAAAATTTGGTGGCTCTAGCTCTTATAGTCTCTGAGAACTAGCCGACAAACAATACGGACGGACGGACCGACGGATGGACAGACGGACAGACAGACATGGCTCTATCGACTCGGCTATTGATGCTGATCAAGAATGATTTTCCAAAGTTTAGATTTTTCCTACCTTTACATCAATCTTTACAAAAAACAAACCTTTTAGTAGCCAATCTTCCTCACTGCGCGAATCAGCTTTAGCGAGTGAGTAAATGTGTAAAAAATAAAAAATGATGTTGGAAGGGGTGGGGGTAGGCACTGGACATGAATTGAGTCATCCTTGCTATAATAATGATCCGATCTAATCTGAATCTGATAGATATGGCCATTCTCTACGGAACTGCATTTGCGTTTTCTAATGTCTTCAAAATTGTGGAAGTCAGAGATTATCTCCCTTTCTGGGGGCAGGGTGGCCCCTGGCTAAATTTAAACAAACTTCAGTCAGTGAGATTTCAAATGAGTCTTCTCAAAAAATTTAATCAATCTACCTACACAGACATGGCTATATATGTAGACTCGGCTATTGATGATGATCAAGAATATATACACTTAATAGGGGCGGAAACGTTTTCGTTACATATATATATACATACAAATACAATAAACGGACACACAGATAGTGAAATATTCCATTGTCGGACAAATGCTTCAGATAATATGGTATCCGACACTGACCGATTTTCCAAGTTTTTAAAGTCGACATTTTCTAAAAATACGTCACAAAAATCAAAAAAATTGTGCATTTCAAAGCTCAATATTTCCCAGAGGGTAAGCTTCAACCACAAAGTGTTTAGGTTCACTTTTTAGCTGCATCAATTAGCTTTTTAGATAAACAATGTTATTTACAATCAGATCTAAGACATTCAAATGATGTGAAAAAAACCGCTACCTCTGAAAATACCTAAAAAAAACCTTTAAAAATTCTTAAAAACAAGTTCTGCCATAGAAAAAAAAACATATTAAAAGCCCCAAATCTTTCAGAAATGAGAAGGGACGTGTGTGACTATCTTACGCCTCACAGTTTTTATATATCAGTATATCTGAACCTTAGTGGTTCTTTTCGAATTTTAGATTTTAAATGTTACATTTTCTNTATAACGTGATATCCACCTGCCGTTATCCATTATCCTGGGTTCTTGCTGATGATTACCCTACAAGGTAGAGAAGTTTATAAAGATATTTCCATTAGGAACGATTTAATGATTGAACGTCCAAAAACATATATATGTACATATGTATATAGTCTAACGGCTTCTCCGGACAGACATCTTAACTTTTTGTTCTGGGTCTGTGTTATCTCGTTTAGCTACATATAATACACGTTTGAGAACTCAGCGGTGTCCTATGTGTCCTGAGCCAAAAAACTATATATGTAAAAATGTATGTATATAAGCAACTAAAAGCTGTTTGAGTATATTTTTACATATTTATGTGTGTACATTGGGAAAAACAAAAAATTATATTTTAGGCATACATATACATATACATGTATTATTGTATTTGCGATAAAAACTAGTTGGAACGTTGTGAGACGCTTCGAACGCATCCCAACTGTTACACAAATTATTCAGTCAGGATATATATCCTGCTATGCAAACAGTAAGCGTAAACCGTCGGCACATCCATCCTCGCTATCATTTTTCAATATGTCGGCAAACAATGATCAGGCAATTGCCGATCTTTTTGCACAATTTTCTCAAACCACCTATTCCAAGGAAAACTACCCAGATCATATGTATCCATATAGTTTACCAAGGTCGAATAGCATTTTCTGCCCTTTGTTTAATGAAAACTCCTTACTTCATGAACTTCAACTAGTTAAGCCGTTATTTTCACCGGGCCCTGACGGAGTTCCCGGCTGTGTACTCAGGTACTTTGCCGAGTCTCTGTGCGGACCTTTGCTTAAACTGTTCACTCTATCCATCCATTCTTCTAGCTTTCCCCCCATCTGGAAGGAATCCTCCATAAGAAAGGTATCAAGTCTATGGGTAAACACAATATAGGTATATCTAAGTTATCCGTTATTCCTAAAATGTTCGAGAAAATTTTAACTCCGCAGTTGCAGCATTTCTGCAAATCACTTATATCTCCAGCTCAGCACGGATTAATACGGCGACGATCAACAACCACTAATCTTTTAGAGTTCACCTCCTCTGTCATTAAGGGATTCCAAGGTAACTTGCAGACGGATGTTATTTACATTGACTTCAGTACGGAATTCGATTCTGTAAATCATTCACTTCTTGCACAAAAGCTCTGCTGTGTTTGATGGCAATGATTGCGTTTGGCTCTCTTGAACATTGAGCGCAAAGCGACTCGCAAAAACAAAATTTAGTTTTTCCTTTTCAAGTCTGCTTCGTAATTTCATGTGTGCGATGACACATACATAAAGGATGGCAATGCGTGTATCTATTCTCGACTTCATATGCGTTTTTCCAATAGAGTATTCAGCGAATACTGTGTGAATACACATAGAGACCCACACACGAGACTACGAAATCAACTTGAAAAGAAACGAGAGGGACGTGTGAGACGCTTCTTACGCGTCACAACTTTTATACCCGGCACTCAGTACTACTTCTGCACCTTAGCGGTGTTTTGTCAAATTGAACATTTTTTCTTCATCTGTCATATACATCTACAACACTACTTACACCAACACGCTCCGTTAGCTCGCCGCCCTCCCTAGACCCACACACTGCAGACTCGCGGCAGAGGCAGAGGCAGCGCCCGCACACAAAAAAAAAAAAATATAAGCTGCGGGACGGGGTGGGTTAAAAGTCGGCAGAGGCAGGGGCCGAGTGAAGCAGAAGCAGAGTGTGAATGAGAGAATGTGAAAAGAACAACAAAAGTTGCGGGACAGGGTGGGTTTAGCCACTGCAAATTAATTTTTTCATTCCAGCTTTAATAATGATCGAATCGGATCCCAATTCAGTGATCTGATAGATATGGCCATTCCCTACGGAACGGCGTTTTAGTTTTCTAATTTTTGAAATACACTTCTTTCAATGTGAGCTTACAGCAGCCCGGAGCCAAAATTTGGTGGCTCTAGCTCTTATAGTCTCTGAGAACTAGCCGACAAACAATACGGACGGACGGACCGACGGATGGACAGACGGACAGACAGACATGGCTCTATCGACTCGGCTATTGATGCTGATCAAGAATGATTTTCCAAAGTTTACATTTTTCCTACCTTTACATCAATCTTTACAAAAAACAAACCTTTTAGTAGCCAATCTTCCTCACTGCGCGAATCAGCTTTAGCGAGTGAGTAAATGTGTAAAAAATAAAAAATGATGTTGGAAGGGGTGGGGGTAGGCACTGGACATGAATTGAGTCATCCTTGCTATAATAATGATCCGATCTAATCTGAATCTGATAGATATGGCCATTTTCTACGGAACTGCATTTGCGTTTTCTAATGTCTTCAAAATTGTGGAAGTCAGAGATTATCTCCCTTTGTGGGGCAGTGTGGCCCCTGGCTAAATTTAAACAAACTTCAGTCAGTGAGATTTCAAATGAGTCTTCTCAAAAAATGTAATCAATCTACCTACACAGACATGGCTATATATGTAGACTCGGCTATTGATGATGATCAAGAATATATACACTTAATAGGGGCGGAAACGTTTTCGTTACATATATACATACATACAAATACGTCGTACGAATGCTTTAGACAATATGGTATCCGAGAAAAGTAAACTACTACTGAAAATTTTCTGTAATAGATTGACAGATTGAAGACTTATTTAAGTATCGGACTGAGAAAAAGCAATTTTTGCACTCACAGTTCAGTAGAATTTCCATATTAATCAGATCCCCAAGTTGAAGTTGGCTTTGATCATTATTATAGCCAGAATGACAACAATAATTTTGCAGTGGCTACTCTCAACCCCCTTCAGCAGCTGTTTTTGTTCTTGCTAATTCTCTTTCGTTCGCACACTGCAGAGTTTTACTCTGGGGGAGGTTGTCGAGCTATAAGGGCGTTGTGGTGCGAGAAGTGATGTACATGTATGTGTACATAGAAAGCAGATGTAAAAAAATGTATAAAATGTAAAATTTGATAACAATTATTTGGTTAGATTTATACATATGCATATGTGCATTAGTGTGGGGGTTTTTCTTGGGAGTTCAATTGAACAATTTACATATTCTACCGAATGTTAAAGATTATCTACATAGGTACATGCTCTACAGAAATTGCGTGAAGACGGACTCCAAAGACGACCTACAAGAATGCCAAAATAAGTTATCAATAGGAAATCAAGTAATACCTGTCATAACTTGCATAAATTCTGAAACATTATGTTTAGATTAATTTTAGATGATTAAATATTAGTCAATAATTACTCCTCTTACCATCAAAGTCAACTGTGCCTGAGCCATCAGCATCAATTTCTTCTATGATCAAATCCAAGTCTTGATTAGATATCTTATCATCTAATTCGTGCAGAATACCACGCAGTGTGGCAACCGTTAGATAACCTTTTCCTTCCTTATCGTAAACACGAAAAGCTTCTTTTAGTTCATTTTGAAGAGCTCCCAAATCCTCCTCTACTTCAATAAAACGAGCCGCCAGCTTGCAAAATTGACCGAAATCCAATTTACCACTTGTTCCCTTATCGACTTCTTTAATAAGAGCCTTAACTGCTGGCGGCTCCAGCTTCTGACCTAAAATTTCAAGTATGCTAGATACATCTGTATGGTCGATCGACCCCGCACCGTCGTGATCAAAAGCCTTAAAAGCATTTCGAAGAACTGCAAAACAGTACCGATATTAGTCAATTATTAAAATATTAAAATATGCCACGTACTTCTCAATTGTTCTTTGTCATACTCTCCTTCAGCCTGCAAAACGTACAAAATTGTAAATCATTATGCTTCCATTGCATGTGTGATCTGCAAATTGTGATATATTTTAACTGCTCAGAATAGAAATTCGCGTCACAATAATTTTTCTTAAAATTAGCCAAATATAACGCAAAGATATGATTTATATACTTATTTTTGTAGTCTTATATCTCTGCAGTATCTTCTGTTTTTGTATGTCTATTGTACAATACATTTTTTTTGGTTACAATCTCCAAAGTTGTTAGTTCTAAAAACTCACCATTTTATGCAACTCTTTAGGAATTATTTAATTTATGAATTCGAATTCCGTCTTGTTAAAGATAAAACGGTATATTTTTCGAGATTTAAAAACTATTGACAACTAGATAAAACAAAAAAAATTACACAAAACAATATCCAATATGTGGCCGTCTAATCCTATTGATTAACCACAAACGTTTCAGCAATTCGATGTATTTTCCAATTGTGAAGGAAATTCGGGATAGGTAAATGTCACTATGCCGAATAGCAACAACAAAAACATTGATCTGATCACCACAAACGCACATCAAATACAAAACTGGCGTCTCATCGATGCTTAGAGAGTAAGAGCATTAACCGCATGGTGTGAGAAGGCGACAGTGGTAGTTCCCATTTAGAATATGTGTGTATGAAAAATGCCATTTGCTACCATCTACCAATTAAATCTAATATTACGTGTTGATATTTGGTGAAAGTAACTTCGAAAGTAACACAGCCTCAGCTATGAGAACCTTTTTTTAAGGTTTGAAGCTTTATAAATGCATACTTTTATACCAGTAACTCGAAGAGTAAATACGGTATATTGTATTTCTGCGAATAACGGTTGTATGTAACGCACAGGATCAAACTTTTCGACCCCATAGAGTATATATATTCTTGATCAGCATCAATAGCCGAGTCTATGTCTGTATGTCTGTCTGCCCCGCTGTCCGTCCTGATGAGCGCTTAGTAGTCAGAGTCTATAACAGCTAGAGCCACCAACTTTGCATCCAGACTTCTGTGTGCTCACACTGTTACAAGTGCATTTCAAAAATGAGCCCCGCCCCCGCAAAAGGGCGAAAACCTCCCAAAGCTAAAATTTTGAAGATAAAAGAAAACTAAAACGCCATTCCTTAGGCATTCGATTGGATTATATTATTAAAGCCACAATGAAGAAATATATTTGCAGTGGCTAAACCCAACCCTGTCCCGCAGCTTTTGTTATATTTCTTTCACACTCTGCTGCTGCAGTGTGCGGCCTCTGCCTCTGCCGTGACTCTGCAGTGTGTGGCTCTAGGGAAGAGGATCGAGCTTAAGGAGCGTGTTGGTGTGTTGTAGATGAAGATGACAGATGAAGAAAAAATGTAAAATTTGACAAAAAAACCGCAAAGGTACAGATGTAGTACTAGTACCGGGTATAAAAGTTGAGACGCGTAAGAAGCGTCTCACACGTCCCTTTTCGTTTTTTTTTAAATTTAGTTTTATTAAGCGTTGAATACGTACATTCAACCTAGTACCTTTACAACCCAATTAAGACATTACAAAATGGACCACCACCATGCTATACGCAGCATAGACTGCAGAAATGCAATTCAGAAATTCTAGTGTCGAAAGTTTTGGCAAAGCATAATCCTTCTTAGCGCCTGAGAGGCCATGCAGGTAATAAACGCCTTCCTAGCAGACTGCGGTGTCTTGTCAGTCTGTCTTTCAATTTGCTGCTTCACTGTGTGCAGATTATGGTCCCGGTGTAGCGTGGAGCCTTGCACATACCACGGGCAGCTTTTAACTTGTCTCAATGCTAGGTTTTGTAGCACCTGTATGCATTTGTGTTTTTTTTTAGCAGATATTCCCCAAATCTGCACACCGTACAGCCAGACCGGGGCCACGCAGTGAACATCCATATACTGCTGTTTTCGCTCACAAATTCATCCTTTGTCCACACTTTCTGGCCGTGTTTTTTAAGTTAGGGCCAAAATTAAGACGCTTTTCTAGTATGAAGCTCAGACACTTGTCCTCCCTTGGTTGCTCTAAGGTAAATCCTTCCAGCTGTATTGGTGACGTGTTGTCGATACGCGTTTTCAAGGTGAAGCAAAGATTGGTGACCTTTAGTGCGTTGACTTTTAAATTTCACCTCTTTCACCAAGCTGCCAATGCGTTGAGGTATTCTTTTACTCCCTCTGCAGAGTAAACTCCTCCTAGTACTCCCCCCTCCCTATGAGAAACATAGCGGAATTTGGAGCTGTAAAGAAGCGCGATATCATCCGCGTAAGTCACAAGTAGATACTTCCTGGGATCCTCCATGTGATGCTCGCTAGAGCGGGGTAGATCTGCAATGTATATGGAGCAACGGACTAAGTACGCTTCCCTGTGGAACTCCAGCTCTCCTAGGACAGGGCATCAAAAAGGTGCTCCTGACCCTGACCATAAACTGCAGGAAACAGCTTTTATGTCCGGTACTCGAAGAGTAAAAATGCGGTGAAAAATGTAACACACAGAAGGATCCCATAAAATAGATGTATATATTCTTAATCAACATCAATAGCCGAGTCCATATAGTCATGTCTGTATGTCCGTCTGTCCGTCTGTCCGTCCGTCTTGTTTGACGCCGCGTTCTCAGTGACCATAAGACCATAGGGTCACCAAATTTTGTGTGAAGACTCATATGATATCTCACTGAATGAAGTTTGTTTCAAAAACTCGCTGTTGGAAGCGACAAATTTGCGACAAATATTCGTTTTTATTATTATACCCGGTACTCGAAGAGTAAATAGGGTATATTGTATTTGTGCACAATATAAAGTATTATTAATTAAGAATATAATCAGCATCAATAGCCGAGTCGATTGAGTCATTTCTGTCTGTCTGTCCCTCCGTCCGTCCGTATTTCCGTCCTTATGAGCGCCTGGATTTTAGAGACTGTAAAAGCCAGAGCCACCAAACTTTGCATCCAGACTTCTGAGCCCCGCCCCCTTCCGCCCCCGCAAAAGGGCGAAAATCCCCCAAATCTACAGTTTTGAAGATAAAAGAAAACTAAGAACGCCATTCCGTAGGGAATGACCATATCTATCAGATCACCAAATTGGGATCCGATTGGATCACTATTATAGTCACAATGAAAAAATTAATTTGCAGTGGCTAAACCCACCCCGTCCCGCAGCTTATATTTTTTTTTACATTCTCTCATTCACACTCTGCTTCTGCTGTGTGCGGCCACTGCCTCTGCCGTGACTCTTCAGTGTTCGGCTCTTGGAAGTGGGGCGAGCTAAAGGAGCGTGTTGGCGTGTTGTAGATGTAGATGACAGATAAAGAAAAAATGTAAAACTTGACCAAAACCGCTAAGGGACAGATGTAGACGCGTAAGAAGCGTCACACACGTCCCTTCTCGTTTTAACTTTTCCTGAGTTCTTAAAGTCGAAATCTCTTAAAAAATACAGCATAAAATTCATCATTTTTGCATTTCAAAGCTTTATATTTCCCAGACGGTAAGGTAAGACTTCAAAGTGCTTGGGTATTTAGGTTTTGGTTTTTTGCTGCCAAAATGATTGTCAGCCATGATTGATTTAAGTTCTGTGTTTCTACAGCGGGAAGGTTCGTGTAATGAGATCATTTGGCGAATCAACATCTGTTTAGAAATCTATTGGCAGTTTTAAGCATCAAATATTTTCATTGATAGCAACGTTTTCATCGCCTATGTCCAATAATTCTTTTGCAACATTTTTAATCCGTATACTTTTCCTTTGATTTTAAATTTTGAATTCAATTGTTTACCATTTGTATCAGTATTATTGAATTCTTCTGTTGCTCCGAAAGATGTCAATTGGTAGCATGAATTTAATTACGCACAAACTTCAGGAAGTTTTGAATCTAGATCCGTGCCGATGAGCAAGTTGTTTAATGGTTCCGGTGTTGTCTCAACTTCAAGTAGTTTAACCTTTCCTGAAGCGCAGCACATACCATTTGACTCAAGTTTATGTTTGAGCGCGTGACCAATCAATACTTTCTGATCAGTGTAATTTTCAATATTCGGCTAGAATTAAAGTGGCTATTGGAATGAGAGGCGTAGGAAGGTCGCGGATGTAAATGCTCTATGTACTTGTGGGTGTTGTCGGTATATACAATACAATACAAAACATACAATACAATAGAAATGTTCACTGTTTCACACACAACAATTTACTCAACTCACAAACAATTAAAAAAAAAAACAGACAAATATTAGCTGATTTCGAGACAAAGTACATAACAACATCATGAAAAGTTTAAACATATATTTAGTTGTCCCAAAACATACTAAGAAATCATGAAAAGCCCTACGAATAGTCTTCTTGATCTGTGCCTACGAGCAGACAAATCAATATTTTGGAGTTACCATAATTTTCAGGTAGTGGCACTTTTCCTGATTCCCATATTCCGTCTGACTCGTGTTAGAGGTTATTGGATTTGAGGGTAATGTTGCTTAACAATGTCATCTCTCTAAGGTCTGCTGCCGAGAGATTTCTGGATGCTCAAAAAAGTCGATCGAGCAAGAGAAAAAGCGATAGGACTCTGTCACAAAACTCGAAACGAAGAGCACCAGCTGGACACAGCCCGCCCTCAACTACAAGCCAGTAGGCGAATACGAGCAATCGATTTGCAAGTCTTGACACGAACACTGCAAGTTATAGTGAGGGACAACTAACACTGGAAATCTGCTAAAGGGTCCTTCAAAACCACCACAAAAAGTTGTCAACATAAGGAACTTAATTGACTTATTTGAGTTCATAGATGAAGTTGCAAGTATAAATTATGTTGTTCTCAAAGCTAACCAAGAGGAGACGGTCAGAATCTTTCCCACAGGAAGTAACCCATATATAGCTATTGTTTACCGGTTGGATGAAATCGGTAGAGAATTAATGCAGTCGGAAAAGCCACACAGGTTTGTAATAAGATTCCTACATCATAGCACCTTATACTATGAAATTACCGCCGAACTTAAAAGACTGGGCTATGAGGTTCTTTATATCCATAATCCAAGTTGAAGAATTAGAAAAGTTTTCTTTTAATGAAATTTGTCATGTAAAGACCCTCTGCCGTCAGATAATAAGGTTGATGCGAAAATCAACGGAAATTGGGCAATGTCTTCGATGCCAGAATTATTGCCACACGGCTAAGTACTGCCGTCGACATCCCAACTGTGCCAAATGTGGTGAAAATCACCAAACTTCGCAATGCACTAGTCCCCTAGATGCGCAGCCTACATACATCCACTTCTCTGGAATCCATATGACCACTTGCAAGGCATGCGTAAGCTACCAGCCGTTCAATGGAAACTGCAAAGAAGTGAAATACCCAAGAACGGGCAAGACCCCTTTAATACGCAAGTTACCCCACCACACAGAGCATCAACAGTTTCAAAATATATAATCCCAATATTTCTTGATCAGCATCAACAGTCGAGTCGATTGAGCCATGTCCGTCTGTCCGTCTTGTTTGTCGGCTAGTTCTCAGAGACTATAAGAGCTAGAGCCACCAAACTTTGAATCCAGACTTCTGTAGGCTCACACTTTTACAAGTGTATTTCAAAAATTATCCCCGCCCCCTTCCGCCCCGCAAAAGGGCGAAAACCTCACAAAGCTACAATTTTGAAGTTAAAAGAAAACTAAGAACGGCATTCGGTAGGAATGGATCGTGTAAGCGTGAGAAGTGATTTAGATGACATATGTGGAAAAGATTAAAAATGAAAGATCTAAAAAAAAACCACTAAGGTACAGATGTACTTTTGAGTACCGGATATAAAAGTTGTGACGCTTAAGAAACGTCTCACACCTTCTTGTTCACATAAAAACGTTTAGAGGGAACATAAGAGTTGGATAGTCCTAGAGGTCCAAATCTTCTCTGAACATAGGTATATCTCGATATATTGTCTCGGCAGTACTATCTCTCGAGAACCCTAAACCCACCGATTATTTTAACCCAAGGAAAACCAAATGGGAAAAATATTCTACAACCTTGGAAGACCTTCTTCCTCCAAAAGCACCATCATGTCTTGACAATCAGGACCACCCTAACAGTCTGACAAATTGACGGAAGCAAGCAACACGGCCTTCACGACAGCATGCCCCTCGATTAAACCTAGGGGGAAAAGGAAGCCTCTCTGGTGGTCAAAACAAATATATACCATACAGAAAAGCTGCAGAGCTCTTTTTAACAGAGTCAAAAGGGCTAACGAGGACAGTTATTGGGGGGACTATAAGCAGAGCCTGACCTCATACAAAAAGGAAACTAGGAGAGCTAAAAGGACCTCTTGGCATAAATTCTGCTCAGAAGATGCGATCAAATCACTAATTGCAATTTCCTCAAATTCGGCTTCTGTAGCAAATTGCCGCAGATCTCTACCTGAGATGTCCTAACAATTTGATATTAGCCTGATATGTGTCCCCCGGGTCACCAGGATATAAATGGCAACTGCGTAGCAGAAGAGTTGACGAGACATGGAACTACAGTCCCCCTTCTGCAAGACAAGGAGGACATTTGTATGCCATTGGCTACATGTAAGCTCATTATAAAGGAGCGATTCAGGCGACGAACCGACAGTAGGTGGCAAATGGCACCACGATGTCGCACAACTCGCTTAACATGGCTGAAAATAAATAAAAAGCGCACCGCTGAGCTGAGAATGCAGAGCGGCCATACGCTCCCTTAAGAGACACTGGCTAATAGTCGCTCATGAGAACAGGCTGGGTGTCCCGTATAATGAATTCTGCCGCATCAGGAGAGACGAGGAAGAGGAGGAAACAGTGGAACACCTGTTCTGCCTTGCCCGGCCCTCAGCAGAACGCGGCTAGAACACTTGAGCACTCATTTTTCACAGATATTTACGTATTTCGGTACTCGATATTTCCTATTTTCATCAGGATGGAAAACTGGTGACCCCATGTCTTGAGGATCGTGACGGCCACTTTATCCTAACCTAACCTATCTCCATACTGTTATTCATCATGCTCCAAGCGTTTTATTTCACTCATAAAATGTAACATTTATTTATATTTTGTAATTGATATTCATGTCATTCATTACTGGGAATAACATTTTCTGATAGATTGAGGGCTTTAAATTTTGTTTCTATAGCAGAACTTGTATTTAAAGAATATTTGAAGTATTTTACCGTTTGAAAAATATTAAGCTTTGAAATGCAAAAATGTTAATTTGTTTGAGGTATTTTTATACCCGGTACTCAAAGAGTAAATAGGGTATGTTGTATTTGTGCGAATAACGGTTGTATGTAACGCACAGAAGGAAGCGTTTCCGACCCCATAACGTATATATATTTGTAGGGGCCGAAAGTAGGGAGATAGCATAGAGCATCACTGATAAACATAATTGCATGTTCAGTAGAGCTTAAAAGTGCATTCCGAAAGAGAACTCCGAAAGTGGATCGTAAGCGCAAGCTTTACGCCGAGCTTACGAAAGAGAGTCGCTGCAGTGTTAGCACATGCAAGCGAGAGCGTGCGCTTATCTTAAAAAAGATAGTAAGTTATCGAGAGAATACAATTTGCCCTTGACGTTTGAGCGAAATTCCACTCAATGCAGCAAAAGATCATACGATTGTCCCGTTAAAGCTCTTAAACGTCATCAGATCTTCGATCTTTATGTTCGGTACAGCCTAGCTTCACTGGGATGAGTTTTGCTAGAGTTATTAGCAAAAAGTCGATCGACAAAACCAGACGTGATTGTGGCAAGTCTTATATATGTAGATATAGCCTACACAAAACTTACATAATCCCTCGTGGCGAAGTTTTCTTGCAAGCCATAAATTCAAAGGAATCTGTGTTGATCTGTGCTAGTGCCTAGTGAAAACAATAATCAACCAAGGTATACCTGCCGTGAGCTAGGAACGTGACCAGTATAATTTATGCGAATTAAGTTTATAGTACAGAAGTCAGGAGCCCTATCTTTCTTAGCAGCCTAAGTGCGCATAAGTGCATATACGGGGTGCTCTACGAGAGGCGTATCACCGAAGTGATCCCCCAATCTACAAGGGGTAGAATTCGATTCCCCCCTCTTCTGCACCGAAACGCCGAGCCCCGAAAACCTCTGACTTGGGTCAACATTAGTGAGGCGTAGCAACCCTTAGGAAGCTCAGCGCGTAAGGCGGCGCCTCGGAACCTTTCACCAGCGCCACTGAGACCACCAGTTTGTCGCGCACTTTAGTGCTTATGTAAGCGGCAGATCGACATCAAGCCGGATGTTCCACATTTTAGCCCAGTGTCCAGAGCTAGAACATTGGGCGTGATTTTGACGGACCTGACTATAGAGGAGCCACCGCCAACAGCAAGACAGATGTCCGGAGTTATGCTGTGTTAATTTGCACATTTTCTGGGACTAAGTTCAATATGCCATTTTAAGGCCAATTCTCTGGCGGTTAAGTATATATATATTCAAGCATCGGGAATCATGAGTGTTTGTAGAAAAGAGTGGGTAGGAAATAATGAATTGAAATTATCAAATCGTACTTGCAGTTACGCTCGTGTGCATATATTGTTAAAACCTTATATTTTTCCCCAGATACCAGCACCTACGTCATCCTTGAGCTCAACGATTACGAAAGGAGTAAGGGTGTTAAAATACCAAAACCAAAAGAAAACTGTGAGTTTGTAAACTTAAAACCATATATGCACAGAGTATAACCGTAACCTGCGTGTTACTAAATATTTAATCATAACCGTAATGGGTTGATACCTCTCGCCGCCCTTTATTCTATTAACCAAATCTGATTCTTAGTCCGTATACTTACTGCCGCCACTATATTCATATATAAATTATTGAAGTCTTAAATTCTTATAAGCTAAAATAAGTATACATTTTAAGTGGGCTAGATCGCCGTAATATGAATTCCTCTGTAGGTTAAGACAATTTGGAAGATATTGAATTATAATAATAGGAAGTCATGGAAATACAAAAACAAAGGCTTCTTTGTTTTGAAACGCAGATTTAATATGTTCTAAATTCTAACGTCCGTCCTCACACAAGCAAGGTCGAAGTGGTAGGATGAAAACTGCCTGATTGTTCTAGGGTCTATACGGTTCAATTTACCAGTATAGCATAGGTTGGGAGGGTAGAGAAGAGGGATTCTCGACGACACCTGAGTTTCTCGTGACTTGAATAGAGTAATTGATATCATCATCCCCCTTTTTCTCAACAACAAATAATTAATCCACTTTCCATACATTCAGTCCAGTTTAACCTGTGTTCTGCTTTTCATTTTTGATTCTTTTAAATGTGCACCTAAAACATTATGCGAGTGTGTGTCAGTACATAATGTAGGAGAGAGTAGAACGAACACCGACAATCCGGCGAGCTTAGCTAGAGCATAGCTAGAGGTGCACACGAAATCTCTTTGTACTAGTTTGGGTAAAAATACATCTATCCCACACCTGCACGCTACATATTCTTGATCAGCATCAATAGCCGAGTCGATAGATCCATGTCTGTCTGTCCGTCTGTCCGTCGTGTTTGTCGGCTAGTACTCAGAGACTATAAGAGCTAGAGCTCACACTGAAAAAAATGTGTATTTCAAAAATAAGCCACGCCCCCTTTCGCCCCCGCAAAAGGGCGAAAACCTACCAAATCTACAGTTTTGAAGATACAAGAAAACTAAAAACGCCATTCCGTAGGAAATTGCCATATCTATCAGATCACCAAATCCGATCGGATCATTATTATAGCCACAATGGAGAAATTAATTTCCGGTGGCTAAACCCACCCTGTCCGGCAGCTTTTATTGCTATTTTTACATTCTCTCATTTATACTCTGCTTCTGCTTCACTCGGCCGCTGCCTCTGGCCGCCCCCTGCTAATTTTTAAAAGTTAAAACCAAGACTCGGTTTTTAACGCTCTGTATTAGAAAAAGAGTGACCATCAAAGTTGCTTACCAGACATTTTTATAGATGGCGCCTTTTTCGAAAAATCTACTGTGAAACCTAGCGGCCATTATTGCACAGAATGTGCAGGGAAAAAGTACCAATTTTATTTCTGTTTTAAATATCTCATAAATTGGAAAATACGATTAACTGATCCAATTTTTTTGATGAATTTTATTTAGTAGGCTTTTTACTACGTGTTCTGTAATGTGAACGATACCTAGTGGTTGGCGATGTCTCTACATCTCGATGTAGTCCTGAGTGCCGGGTCACACGTCCCTTCTCGTTTTTTTTAAATTTTGTAGTTTAAAAGCTCAGAAAAAGTCGAAAAAAACAATGTCCTCTATTTTTGTATGTACAGGTGCATTAATTGGGCGTCGTCAAAATATATGGAGAGACGGTTGTGATTAAATTCCTAACGAAAAAGTCGTGTCGAGTAGTGTTAACTTTAAACTATTAGCAGAGTAAACTTTTGCCTAAAAACATAATTAACGCTTCTACATAAAGAAATAACAACAACAAAATAATAAGGATACAGAATAACTAAATGTATATAATAATGAAAATAAATAAAAATGTGAGAATAAGCAAAGCTATTGTCTAAAATGACATAATTAATTCGATTAAACTCTAGTTGTATCATCATAGACTATGAAAATAGATTTTGTGTTTCATCAAAAAAGGGCATCATCCTTCATGTTATCTTATAATCAAATTTGATTGTATCCATGTTTAAATCTTTTCCAGAAGTCTCACATTCTAGTCATTCTTCCAAATTACATCGTTCTGAGCCTTAAATGAGACTTTTTCATCTTAATTTCTAAGAGTAATTGAGTGTACAATATTTTTTGTCATACCGTCTTTAGCCAAAAAGCACCACGTTCGCGTGCTGGTTTAGGCCAAACACAGGTTCGATCGACAGACAGAAAGGATAGGAAAACACATAAAATTTACTAGTTATGATGACACTGCAAGATGTTGTTGCAAAAGCCGAGTTGGTTTTAGCAGTTCTACTGCTGCGCTGGTGTTGCTACGACAGCTGATTGCCCACCCTTCCATGATCATCTTATCCGCAAGACCAAAAGAGAGGCCGATGATCCATTGAACGACCTAACATTCTACCCTACTTCCATACTACGTCGAGACATGGCACCCACAATCCGAACAACTTGAACATATTGAAATTAAAATTAAAACTTATTTATTATAACAGAATGCTCATAGCAAAAAAAAACGTAGATATAAAAGGGAATTTAAGCGTGCTTCATAACAAGGTTATCGCAAAAAAAAAGTTGTAGGAAAAAAAAAGAAAAAGGTAAAAATAATATATGTATAAATAAAGAAAATAATAAATGGGTTGAGGTAATAAAATTTAAATTCACATAGGTATATGTCGACAAAAAAAAATGGTTAAAACTATATTAGTGCGCTCTTATACTCTCTCCTTCCTCATTCCCTCTCTTATAATCTTTGTAACATGCAATAAAAGTAATTTGTTTTCCACTTACGTTCATATCTCGAAACCTTCCATCTCCAAAAGCGCTTTTTTCGATGCGAGGCGGCGAATCTGTTGCACTTTTTAAAAAGGGAAGAAGAAAATAAAAGCAAGCACAAACACAAAATCTAAAGCGAAGAGCTAATACATTTTTTTTCTTCGCTCTCGCGATCTTCGTCTTCTCTCTCTTCTATGCTCGCATATTTTCGACTCTCAACGCCACTGTGGTGAATACCCGAACATATTAGAAGAGACAGACATGCACGAAAAACAAAAAGGGAAGAGGAACGTCGATTGCACTTTTATTACTATTACAATTTTTAACCACTTGTATGTGACTTTTACATTCCTCGGCAATCACTTAATATTTCATGTTTCACTTAACACTACCCAACTTATTTTACACTTAGGCTAGGGTGGGACAAAAAAACTAGAGATATGTATATAAAAATTGAAACGAAGGGTTATTTAACCGACATTTCCCGGTTAGAAAATCGCGGCTTCCCCGTCCAGACGGTGGCTTCGGAGGTGCGAATTAAACTACTTCTCGTCCAATTGCAGCGGCTTCTCTCGGCTTTAGTTGCGCCTTATAGCGGCGAATTCCCGATCGCTTGGAGCGCAATCAATTATTAATTATTCGGCACTGCCGTAGACAAACCAGCTGTTTTTGTGTGTTGCTTTTCTATTCGGCTAATTGAGTGATTTTATTGCCTTTAATGAACTTGTAGCTTCAATGTAACAGATTTGCACTAAGTACTAAGTGGCAATCTGCACTTGCAAAAACGTAAAACAAAAGGAAAAGATAGAAGAAAAAAAATTTTGATTCTACTGATTTCACAATTTTCTGCTTAAGAAAAACACGAACAAAATTGTATGGCTTACCTCTTATTTGCGTTTGGCACTTTTTTGATATTCTAAGCGGCCCAGCGGCGGCTGTATTTCTCTTCAGGTATTTTCTGAATATCTTTGTACAATTTTCAGCCGCGGTTTAAGCTCTTCGCACTAAAACTTGGGTTTGGTCTATATATTCTGGACGTTGATATGCAATGACTGCACCATCAAGTGGCCCATGCGACACCAAGCCAAAGCCTGTTACGCGCGGAACCTAGCAGAACGCAGCCCTCCTCCCGCCCAACCGACCGAGGGGCGCTGCCGCATGACGCGCGGCGCGATTAACCGAACCGGTCGCGAGCATGCAGGAAAGATAGATGTTAGGCTAATATTCGAGGAGAATTAGATCTAATCATAACTAGACTAAGCTAAGCAAGCAGAAATTACCAAAATCAGAAACAAGACAAAACTAAAATGAAACTAACTACGGGAGAGGTAGGCTAGTATAAGAGATTTAAGAAGAGGAAGGGAGTTAGTTGAGGATATAATGTGGTAGAGGGAATTATAATCCGAGCATAAAACCCTAAAGGGTTCGTGTGAGGCATAATTCGATCTACATAGTGGAAGGAACAAAGGAATAAAGTTTCTAGTGGGTCTAATGGGAATCGTAAAGTTTATGCGGCTCAGCAAGTCAGGGCTGTCTACATCCCCCTTGATCAAGTTGTGCATAAAAATTACACCAAGCATTTTTCTACGACTAACTAAGGATGGAAGATTTATTAAGAGAAGTCTACTACGGTAGGATGGCAGTCTCACAGTTGCATCCCAGTTGAGGCCCCGTAGGGCAAATAATAAAAAGTTTTTCTGTACTGATTCAATACGGTCCTGATGTATGTTGTACTGAGGGCACCATACACATGAGCCGTATTCTAAAATCGGACGAACAAGCGAGATATAGAGAGTCTTCGTTATATAGGGGTCCTCAAATTCCTTTGACCACCTCTTTATAAACCCAAGCACACCCATGGCTTTATTTACCATGGTAGAAATGTGTTCAG